AAATACCATACGAAAATACACTGCAAAGTCGCTGATTTATTCAAAAAAAATGGTCAAAGTTTTTTTTTTCTCATTATGCACTGTGTGCTGCAGGATTTTTTTTAGACCGTGCACACTGACCACATAGACCCATTCTTTCATATGAAGGCCTACCAGCTTTCTCCCACTAGATTTGAGGACCGCTAGAATTTATGAGTACTAGTACGTCAAAAACCCCTACGCGTAAGACGTACTAGTACGACGAAAACCCTCAAAGGGTTAATAACTTCACAACAGCAGTAGCAAACATTGATTGGCACACTGAGCTAGAAATCTATACAGATATTGACGAATGTATTAATAATTTTCTAAAAAAGACCCAATACCTCTATAACAAGCACTGCCCTAAAAAAACTAAACAGATGACAGCAAAGAGACTGAACAGTCCCTGGCTAACACCCAGCATTCTCAAATCCATAAATACAAAACACCAATATGAAAAACAGTACAGAATGGGTCACATAACCAGAGACCAAACATAACGTTACTCGTCAATCCTAACCAGCCTGATAAGAAGGGCAAAAATATTGTATTATGAGAACAGATTATCCAATTTACGAGGTGATATAAAAAAGACCTGGAAAACCCTATCAGAAATTCTGGGAACAAAAAAGATATCACGAAATAGCGAAATAAATTAGCAAAATCAGATGAACCCCAACTCCCACCAACAGAAACAGCAAACAGACTCAATGATTTCTTCTCCACTATAGGACAAAACCTTGCCAATAAAATCCCAAGCTCAGATACCCCACCAAATGACTACCTCACCGGCAACTACCCGAACACACTGTTCCTAGCTCCGACTAACCCATACGAAGTCTCCCTTATTATCAATGCACTAAAAAACAAGGCAGGGGATTTAAGTACCTTACCACCCTTTATATACAAAAAAGTGTCACAAGTGCTATCTCCAATCATTGCAACACTCTTTAACAAATCCATTGAATCCTCCACCTTCCCTACAGTACTCAAAATAGCAAGGGTCACCCCGATCCACAAAGGAGGAGACCAAACAGAGTTGAATAACTATAGGCAATATCCAACTTACACCCTCTCTCAAAAATCTTCGAAAAATTAATTCATAAACGAATCTACTCCTACCTTATCTCCCAAAACATACTCAACCCCTGCCAATTTGGATTCAGGCCTAATAAAAATACTAATGATGCTATTATACACATGCTAGAACATATATACACTGCAATAGAGAAAAAAGAAGTCCCACTGGGGATCTTCATTGACTTACGTAAAGCTTTTGATACAGTTGACCATGACTTGCTCCACGTAAAATTGTCACACTATGGTATAAGAGGGCACTCCCTCAACTACCTCAAGTCATACCTCAGCAACAGAAGCCAATATGTGTACGCAAATGGGGCAAACTCTTCTGCGCAACCAATTACAGTTGGTGTCCCACAGGGAAGTGTCCTTGGCCCTCTTCTCTTTCTCCTATACATAAATGACCTTCCAAATGCTTCGCAATTACTCAAACCCACACTATTTGCAGATGACACTACATACGTCTTCTCTCACCCGAGCCCAGTCACACTAGCCAATACTGTAAATACCGAATTACAGAAAATATCTACCTGGATGAGGACTAACAAACTTACACTAAACATTGACAAAACCTACTTCATTCAGTTTGGTAAACAGAGCTACAGATGTCCCTCTTAACATAATGATAAACGGATCACCTATCACAAAGCTAACAGAGGGAAAATTCTTAGGAATCCACCTCGATAATAGACTCAAATTTCATACACATACAACAAATTTCTAAGAAAATTTCCAAGACTGTAGGCATACTATCGAAGATACGGTACTATGTTCCACAGTCAGCCCTCCTGGCCCTATATCACTCTCTTATTTACCCCTATCTCACCTATGGAATTTGTGCATGGGGCTCAACAACAATTAACCATCTCAGACCACTAATTACCCAACAAAAGGCTGCAGTTAGAATGATAACAAATTCTCACTACAGGCAGCACACTCACCAATATTCAATACACTAAACCTACTCACCATACAAAAATCCATACTTATTACTGCACCTATTACATACATAGAACACTTAACTCGGATATTAACCCTCCCCTCAAACATCTCCTTGCCAACCTCAACAGAACACATGACCATAACACAAGGCACAGATCACTCTTTGATGTTCCTCGTGTCCATCTTACACTATGCAAAAACTCAATGCACATAAAAGGCCCTAAAATCTGGAATTCATTACCTGTAAATATAAAAGAAACACTACCTGTTTATAAATTCAAGTCTCTACTCAAAGATCACTTACTCACCCAAAACCAAATAAATACTGAATAACTGAACCTTATAAATTGTATATCTTAAATGTTTCTCACAATTATATCACATAAATGTTAAACCTAAAACCGAATCTAACTTTATTATTTTTTAAATACACTACCTAACAGAATCCTTCATATGACTGAATGCAACCATATAACCTGTCTTTGTAATACTCATTTGTGCTTTATAGTAATCTGTTTACATTAATGTTTTATCACTGATTTCATCATTGCTTAGTTAATCTTAAGTTAATTTTAAGCCAGCCCGTAATGCTATGCATAGTATAAGTGGCTTTGGCATGCTGCTCTTATCTGTATTTTTTTGTACCTCTGTATGTGTGCTCAAATTGATAATAAATAAATAAATAAAAAAAAAAAAAAAAAAATGGACACGTTTCTTTACACCTGCTGTCCCTCTTCACCTAGAAGTAGGTACCTGGGTGTTGGTTGACTGGCCTACACTACCCTGACCCACCTATCCCTGGCCTACACTACCCTGAACTACCTATCCCTGGCCTACACTACCCTGAACCATCTATCCCTGGCCTACACTAACCTGACCCACCTATCCCTGGCCTACACTACCCTGAACCACCTATCCCTGGCCTACACTAACCTGACCCACCTATCCCTGTCTTACACTACCCTGACCCACCTATCCCTGGCCTACACTACCCTGAACCACCTATCCCTGGCCTACACTACCCTGAACCACCTATCCCTGGCCTACACTAACCTGACCCACCTATCCCTGGCCTACACTACCCTGAACCACCTATCCCTGGCCTACACTAACCTGACCCACCTATCCCTGGCCTACACTACCCTGACCCACCTATCCCTGGCCTACACTATCCTGACCCACCTATCCCTGGCCTACACTACCCTGCACCACCTATCCCTGGCCTACACTACCTGAACCACCTATCCCTGGCCTACACTAACCTGACCCACCTATCCCTGGCCTACACTACCCTGAACCACCTATCCCTGGCCTACACTACCCTGACCCACCTATCCCTGGCCTATAATACCCTGACCCACCTATCCCTGGCCTACACTAACCTGACCCACCTATCCCTGGCCTACACTACCCTGAACCACCTATCCCTGGCCTACACTACCCTGACCCACCTATCCCTGGCCTACAATACCCTGACCACCTATCCCTGGCCTCACTACCCTGAACCACCTTATCCCTGGCCTACACTACCCTGACCCACCTATCCCTGGCCTACAATACCCTGACCCACCTATCCTGGCCTACACTAACCTGACCCACTATCCCTGGCCTACACTACCCTGACTCACCTATCCCTGGCCTACACTACCTGACCCACCTATCCCTGGCTACACTAACCTGACCCACCTATCCCTGGCCTACACTAACCTGACCCACCTATCCCTGTCCTACACTAACCTGGCCCACCTATCCCTGGCCTACACTAACCTGACCCACCTATCCCTTGCCTACACTAACCTGACCCACCTATCCCTGGCCTACACTACCCTGACCCACCTATCCCTGGCCTACACTACCCTGACCACCTATCCCTGGCCTACACTAACCTGACCCACCTATCCCTGTCCTACACTAACCTGACCCCACCTATCCCTGGCCTACACTACCCTGACCCATCTATCCCTGGCCCACCTATCCCTGGCCTACACTAACCTGACCCACCTATCCCTGGCCTACACTAACCTGACCCACCTATCCCTGGCCTACACTACCCTGACCCACCTATCCCTGGCCTACACTACCCTGTCCCACCTATCCCTGGCCTACACTACCCTGACCCACCTATCCCTGGCCTACACTACCCTGACCCACCTATCCCTGGCCTACACTACCCTGACCCACCTATCCCTGGCCTACACTACCCTGACCCACCTATCCCTGGCCTACACTAACCTGACCCACCTATCCCTGGCCTACACTACCCTGGCCCACCTATCCCTGGCCTACACTAACCTGACCCACCTATCCCTGGCCTACACTAACCTGACCCACCTATCCCTGGCCTACACTACCCTGACCCACCTATCCCTGGCCTACACTACCGACCACCTATCCCTGGCTACACTACCCTGAACCACCTATCCCTGGCCTACACTACCCTGACCCACCTATCCCTGGCCTACACTAACCTGACCCACCTATCCCTGGCCTACACTACCCTGAACTACATTTTCACCTAAACTATCATAAATTCGGGGAGGCACTGAGCCCCTAGGGGGCCATACAGCGCATGGGAATTGGGGGGGTTGCTGCAATTCCTTGGATCAAGAGCCCTTTACCAGGCTCCTGGCACCTCCCTTGAAGGGACGTAACCTACGACCCTCATAACACGGTCACCAGAGCCAAGAATTAAGATTACAGCATATATATACTGACCACTATGAGGCTATCTATAAACACACATATTCTTGGGGAAGCGCTAGGCCCGCAGGGGTCAGGGAATAAGGTTGTCTACCACCATAGGAGAATCTTATTTCGAAGACTGCAGTAATAAAAAAGGTGCACTTGTAAGAAGGTTTCATTTATGACTGTTTCGGCTCAGCTGGCACTGTGTTCACTGCTGCTACCACCTCTACTCTCATACACCTGCTTTAACAACTGTTAAGGTTAGTGAGTACCTGTGTAGGAGGGGTTGTAGAGGGTGATAACAGAGAGGAAATGTTGTGGTGGAGGCTGCCACGGACGTTACTCAGCCATCTTGCCTTCACTACTGTGCTGCTGCTGCTGCTGCTGCTGCTGCTGCCACACATAACTATACTACCACACATTAATACACATCAGTAATACACTCACACATCAAAAAAATATTCTTATTATTATTATATATTTCTTAAAATGTTAAGACTGCTTTGTAGAATTTTTTATTGGCAATAGATTCATATGAGAGACTGTGCACCTGCATAAATGAAAACAAATATGGTGAGCCTCACCTGCTCATTCCTTTAAGTAAATATTTTGATAAACCGCGCGCTAAATATCAATTTTACCACCTTGATTCTTACAAAATTTTATCAAAAATAATATATTAAAACAATTAACAACTAAAATGCATTTTTTCTGCTTGTCTTTACTTACGCATTAAGAAAATTATGTTATACTAAAATGACACATAACATTTAAACCAAAAATAATACGAATCACAGAGAGCAAATATTCACTAACTGCTTAGTAATAATTGTAGTATCATAACTGATTCCCAATATAGAGCTGTATGTGTGTCTTCAGACTCACATACAGCTCTATATGTGACTGAAGTTCCAAATTTACCATATTGTGAGGAAACTAACAAGACTTATTATTACTGAGAGGTTACAGATGAGTGCATTACTAAGGACTGGATAACTTCCTCAAGACTGCCATAATACTTAGGGAAAGCGAAGTGGTTAATACTACACACACTGAGGTTCGGGGATCGATCACCGGTACGGCTGGATAACATTAGAATGTGTTTTCATAACACACCTGCTGCCCGTGTTCACCCATCAGTAAAATGGGTACCTGAGTAACTGGTGTGGGTCGCATCCTGGGACAAAACTGACATAATTTGGCCGTAATGCTCTGCATAACAAGCGATTTTCTAAAGAACAAAAAGGTACAAAACCGTGACTGGCACAATACACAAGTAACCTGCACATAAAAGAGAGGAACTTACGACGACGTTTCGGTCCGACTTGGACCATTTACAAAGTCACACTAACAGAAAAGAGACAGCCAGTATATATAGGGCAAATATATATATTGGCTATATCGCTCTTTTCTGCTTTGTGATTTTGTAAAGGGCCCCAAGTCGGACCGAAACGTCGTAAGCCCCCTCTCTTTTTTGTGCAGGTTTTTTGTGAAAAGCGGTTTTTCAATATACTATATTTTCTTTTGATTCAGCTAGGTTTTTGTATATTTTGTACAGGTACTTGTAGAAAAAAAGGGTTTAATTTAATAGTCCCTACACGAAACCCCGCCTCCCAAACCCCAGGGGGGAGATCACCCGGGCCCTCCCAAACAGAAAAAGTTTTCGGGTTTTGGGGTTCCTTGCCCCTCTGTCGCAATTCACCCAGCAGAAAAGTAGGAAACCTGGGTGTTAGTGAGGACCCAACCCCCAACGAATTTTTTTTTTCCCAACTTTGAAGATTATTTGGTTTTTCCCTTGGTAACATAAAAGTAAAATAATGAAAAAGTAATAAAAACCCCCGCAAAAATACAAAAGATCCACCAAATTTAAAAAATGTTATTTTAAAAATAAAATACTTTTTCTATAACGGAATTTATGGAAAATCAAAAATTTAAGGGTGACTGCAATTTTTGCCTCGGCTAGAAAGGTGTGTGTGTGTTTTAACCTTTTCGCCCTAGGCACATGTCGATTGGGAACACTTGGCCTTTTTTGTATAAAAGTGGGGGGTTGCTGGGTGTGTGTGTTTTGTGTGTGTGTGGTGTGGTGTGTTGTGTGGGGGTGGGGTGTGTGGTGGGGTGGGGTGTGTGTGTGTAGGTGTGTGTGTGTAGGTGTGTATGTGTTTTTTGGGTGCTAGTTACCTTTTTGGGTCCTAGGCACATGTCGATTTGCCACTGGGCCTGTTTTACCACTGAAATATGTATGTATGTATGTGTGTGTGGGGTGTGTGTTGTTTCCCCTTTTTTGGGGTTTGCGGGGGGCGAGTCCTAGTCCTGGCCCCGCCCTTAAACCGGGTTGCTACTGGGCCCCTTCTCTCCCCCCGCTCCATGAAGCTTTATAAAACCCTCTCTTAAAACTGTGAAAGGGTTTCCCTGCCTCCACAAGGGCTTTTTCTAGGTTTCCACGCCTTACAACTCTTGACTAAAGAAATATTTCCCTACTATCTCTCGGCCCTCTTTTTGTGTCTTAAACTTCCAATTTTTGGCCTTTGTTTCTGTGTCCCCCCCCTGGAAAAAACCCTTTGTCTTTGTCCACCTTTTTCCAATTCCACCGATTTTTTTTAAATATGTCGTTTTCAGGGTCTCCCCTGACCCCCCTGTCCCCAGTTCGTCAGGCCGATTTCCCAAAAACTTTTTTAAATAGGACTTTCCCCCCTTAGTTTGGGAAAACTAACCTTTTTTCCCAAAAAACCTTTGTATTTTCTCTATTTTCTTGACGTGCTTTATCAATTTGGGGGTTCCCAAACGGGTGCGCATACTCCAGGGGGGGCCTGACTTTAAAACTTGTACAGTGTTTTGGGAATGATTCCTTACAAGGTATGGGAAGGGCTGTTCCAGGTTTCCAGGGCCATAGGGCTGCAGCATTTTTAATCTGATTGATGGTGCTTCCCGGAGACTGCTGGGTTTTTTTTAAAACTCACCCCCAAAATCTTTCCCCTTTGGGAGTGGGTTTTTCAGTTTTTTGGCCCCTAGCCAATCCCTCTTTCTGGGGCTTCTGTCCCCTTTTTCCCCTTTATCTTCTAAATTTTGGCTTTTTGGCGGGTTTTAAATTCGAAAAGGCTTTTCCCTGGACCAGGTGCCAGTCTTCCAGGTCTTTTTGAACCTTTGCCGGCCCATCAGTTTTTTTTCTCCTCATTAACTTCCCCAACATCGGGCAAACGGGACACTTCTGAGTCAAACCCCTTCTGTCTTGGGTTCACATATCCCAAAAAATGGGCACGGGTCCTAGGACCGACCCCTGGGGGAACCCCCCTGGGCACAGGTGCCCACTGTGAATTCATTTTTACTTTACCAGCCCGTTTTTGCCCCCCGGTCGGGTTATTTTTTGACCATTGCAGTCCCCTGTTTAGGCGCCTAAAGGCTCTAGCTTCTGCACTAACCCTTTTGGTGAGGAACTGTGTAAAAGGCCTTCTTGCAGCCCAAAAAGTTGTAATCAACCCCCCTCTTCTCTTGTTTATTTTGTTTTTTTATCTTTAAAACCCCCCAAAAGGTTTGTGACCCGGGATTTCCCTTCCGTGAATCTGTGGGTTGGCATTTAAACTCCGGGTTCCGTTCCGGGTGCTCCCCCACTCTCCTCCAGAAAAATTTCCCATAATTTTGCATACAAATACCCCGTCAATGACCGGGGTCATAGTTTTTTTGGCCTCTTTTCTGCCCTCCTTTTTTGAAAAGGGGAAACCTCCTTTTTGCCGTTTTCCCCATACCTCAGGTTTTCCCCATTTTTCCAGGATTTTTTTGAAGAGGGGGGTAAGTGGCATGCACAACTTTTCTCCCTTCCCTCTCTAAGGACCCAGGGGGAAGAGATTTGGGCCCGGCCCCCATTGCCTTTGGGGGAATCTTTGGGCCCTTAGCAGTTTTTTCACCTCCCCCTTTTTTTCGGTATGTATGTCGTCCAACATTTTTGGGGGTGGGGTTAAAACAACTTAAAAACCCTGGGAAATCTTTATTGAAAACCCTTTTTCGCCATCCAGGGGCTTTTCAATACAAATTTTTTGGACAAAACTAGAAGACAGTAAAATTTAGTACAAAAGGAGGAGGAAATAAAGCCCCTAAAACCTAGGAGTAGGCCCAAAACCACCATTTCGGGGAGATTTTTTAAAATCCCAGGGATATGGGCTGTTCGCACCAACTCCTGGGGTTGGGGGGACTGATTCCCTCACCTTCTGAAACATAGTTCTATTTGTTTTCCCTAGTTATGCCCCTAAAATTTTGTATTGAAAAAGCCCGGGAGGGGCGAAACGTCTACAAAAAAGGGAAAACCCAATGTTGCACGTGTTTTCTTACTCCCCTTTTGTCGGTATTATATACCATTGGACAAAAATTGTTGGGGGGTTATTCCTTGCTGGTGTCCCCCATCGGGTTCTTTCCCCAGAGTCCTTCCTGTCTCAAACTGTAAATACTTCCTTAAAAATCCCCGTTTTGAGCCCCCTCACTTCCTCTTGATCTTTTTTGTGATTTTCCCCACCTTTTTTTCCTCACCCTTTAATCACCGGGTCCTTGATTTTTGTTTTTCCCCCAAATTTTGGCTATACAGAGTTTGGGGGTTCGTTTTGACTTTCGTGCTAGTCGTTTTCATACTGTCGCGGGGGCCTTCCCCCCAAAAACTGCACATACTCTTTTTGGGCTCTTTACAAATCTCCTTTTTTCCTGGGTCCTATGCCTCCTGTCCCTTTTTCCTTTCTCTGTTGCACGGGGGTTTTTGCCTCCCTACACCTTGGGTAAACCAAGGACCTTTTTGGTTTCTTCCTATTTTTTCTTTTTCCCCTTGGGAAAAAAACTTTCCTTCCCTCCTGCACTTTTTTTTCCAAACCTTTTTCCAAACATTGGGTTTTCCCCCTGTTTTTTCTACCTTTTTTCCTCTTCCCACTAAACCTCCTGAAAGGAATTTCTCATACCGGGGTTACCCCCCCTTTTATATTTTTGGCCGCCCCCTTCAGTTCCGGGTTCCCTTTCTCCCCTTGAAACCCTCTACTAAATAGTCAAAACTCAGAACCACATGATCGCTAGCCCCAAGGGGCCTCTCGTAATTGATTTCCTCAATGTCGGAAACTGCTCGGGGGTTTTAACAAAAGATCCGTCTTGCTGGCTCATCCCCCCCTTTCCCCTCTCTTTTGGGGTCCCTGAAAAATTTTGGGATGCATGAGGTTTTCAAGTACCACACCCCTCATCTTGGCTCTCCATGTTTCGTTTCCATGTGTGATTGTGTTGTGTGTGGTGTGTGTTGTGGTTTGTGTGTGTTTTTTTTTGGGGTGGTGTGAAAGAGAAAAATTTCCCAAACAAACCAAAATTTTTATACCCCAAATTATCCATGGGAAATAAAATTTCTTCTCCTATCCCAAAAACAAAATCGAGAACAAGGGTCCATTTT